GAACCCGACGCAGGGCTCGAACCCACGAACCACAAGAACCTGAGCCGAAGTCGGACGCTTAACTGACTGAGCCAACCAGGCACCCCACCTATGGTGGACTTTTATGGGGGCTTTCTTCCTACAGCTTCCAGGTTCCAAACAATAAACTAAGTCACGCATCCTGCTCTAGCTGCCCTATTTATAAACAGATTATCTCTTGAGATTAGTAGATTGATAAAAACGCAGAAAAGAAGATGGCAAGCCACCAGCTTGACTGACAGTCATGAACACAGCTGAGCACTGTGAAAGGACTTTGAAGGCAGACCATGAAGGCCCCAAAAGTTCACCAAACCATGGGCCTTATAGCCACAACAGTTCCAAGGCCAGAGACCTAAAATGACAAGGGCCTCCAGCATTACAGCCTCCTAGGGGGCCATTACCAAAACACTGGTCCGGAAATCAATGTCTCAGTTGTAATCAACTGGGACGCCAGAAAGAGACTGTCTTCCAAGGCCGGATACAAATTCTTCCACATCAGCTCAAATGCCCCCATATCTGCTCCCAAAGGAGGCCCCCATATGGTTCCTTCCCAGAGTCAATGGGACTCCAAGGGCCCCTCCAATAAACTGCTACCAGTAATCCCTTGAAGCAGCCTATGGGAAACTAAAATTAAAACTGATGGGAAATCTTGCCAAATTCTGGTAGCTACTGACACTACACTTTCTATTTTAAACCCCACTCTCATAGGACAATAAATCCCTCAGAGTGAAAAGAAGGTTTCCATAGTAAGGGTTTCTAATAAAATTCAGAGAGAGTTTCTATCTCAAGCAGTACAAATGACTCTGTGACCTTTCACTGAAAACATCCCTTTTTTCTGTGTGAGTCAGCCCCAGTTAATCTATTAGGTAGAGATCTCCTTTCTAAATTAAAAGAGATAATACATTTTGCCTCCATTGCAGACCTCACCTTAGAATTTCCTGACCAACTTGAACCTATCTTTTATGTTCCCTACAAGGTCCTTGACATTGACGAGGAAGAATTTCAACAAAGTCCCCTGATGTAATCAAGGTGCCCCAAACATCTGCAGGCTTTTTTTTTTTTTTTTTTTTAATTTCTAGGAGAGAGAGAGAGACAGTGTGAGCAGGGGAGGGTCAGAGAGAGAAGGAGATACAGACTCTGAAAAATTGGCTCCAGGCTCTGAGCTGGCAGTCAGCACAGAGCCCGACGCAGGGCTCGAACCCACGAACCGCGATATCATGACCCAAGCGAAAGTCGGACACTTAACCGACTAAGCCACCCAGGCGCCCCTCTGCAGGTTACTTCTAATACTGATATTAGGAGAATGAAAAGTCCAGAGCCTATAAAAATTCAGATAGACATAACAAAACCTCTGCCCCAAATTGCCTCAACATCCACTAAAATTTGAGGCCATACAAGGCCTCACACCAGCAGTAGAAGACCTAATCATTTCTTGTACCAGCCCCTGTAACATGCCCATCTTCTCAGTCCAGAAACCTAATGGGGAGGATGGTAATTTGCCCAGGACTTGAGAAACTTTAACAAGGTAGTTGTTCAGGGCACCGGGCTGGTTCAATCAGTAGAGCACGCGACCCTTGATCTCAAGGTTGTGAGTTTGAGTCCCACGTTGGGTACAGAAATTATTCAAAAACAGAATCTTTAAAACAAACAAACAAGATAGTTATTCTCCATTTCCCAGCTTTTCCAAACCCACACACCCTTTTGCCATGAGTTCTACCTGATTCAAGGTGGTCCTCTGTTTCAGACTTTTGTTCATCCCCTGCAGACCCTCAGAGCCAATATCTATTTTGCCTTTACTCCTACTCTTTACAGTTCATGGATCTCTAGGCCTGGCTGGCTATTGCAGAGTATGGGTTCCTGATTTCTCTCTCTTGGCTTCCCCACACTGCGAACTGACTAAAATGTCAGTCCCTGAACCCCAGCCTTGGGAGGATAAACATGAGCAGGCCTTGATAAGACAGAAACAGGCACTACAAGAACCGCCTGTGTACAACTACCTGACTATTCAAAACCCTTCACCTTATTTGTGCATCAAAAAGAAAGTCAAGTCCTGGAAGTGCTTATGCAAGAACATGGAGACTGGTAGAGCATCCTTCTGGACTCCAATGCTCCCGCCTATATCCCACTGCCTTAAGGCTGTAGCCTCCACAACAAAGTTCACAGAAGCCTTAGGAAATGTATTTACAGACTTCACACCTGCTCTAAGTCTTCTTAACTCTGAATTGACTCAACATTGCTCTGTGCAAGCTGACTCCTCCTCTGAGACCCTTCTGCTTTCACTACCTAATTTACATCTTAAATGTTGCAACTGTCCTTAATCCCACAGCACTACAACCTCTCTGCCTGATGGAAATGAGCCCTGTGACTGGGAGGTGGTAACATCCCATTTGGTGACACTGCTTCCTGCTTCACAAGACATCCTTTGACTAATCCTGATCTAATTTTGTTGCTGCTGAGTCATACTATCAAAATGAGAAAGGGATTTTCCAAGCTGGTTAGCTGTTACTATCTGATATGAGCTACTTGAAAGGATAATTTCTCACAAGCTAAATCCATCCATCAAGGCTCCAGGCCCTTACCAGAGCAGACCAGTTATCAAAAGGATGAACTGTTAATATTTATACTGATAGCAGGTATGCCTTTGGGGGTCCTACCATGATTTGGAGATGTTATAGAAACAAAGAGGTTTTCTTACATCCACTGGTACCCCAATCGAAAGTGTACAAGTTGGGGCGCTTGGGTGGCTCAGTTGGTTAAGTGTCCAACTCTTAACTTGGGCTCAGGTCATAATCTCACAGTTTGTGAGACTGAGCCCCACATCGGGCTCTACATTGACGCATGGAGCCGGCTTGGGATTCTCTCTCTCTCCCCCCCTCTCTCTTCCCCTCCCCTTGCTCACATCTCTCCTTCTCTCTCTCTCTCTCAAAATAAATAAACTTTAAAAACAAGTGTACAACAAGTAGGAGTGCCTGGATGGTTCAGTGGGCTAAGTGTCTGACTCCTGATTTGGGCTCAGGTCATGCATGATCTCACAGTTCATGGGATCAGCTCCGGTCAGGCCCTGCACTGATAGCATGTAGTCTGCTTGGGATTCTCTCTCTCCCTTTCTCTCTCTTCCCCTCCCCCCACACATGCTCTCTCCCAAAATAAACATTTTTTTAAAAATTGTACAAGTATATGACTTCTTACTGCTATTCTCTTATCCTCCCAGATTGCTGTCATCAAAACTGAGGCTCACACTAAAAAGACAGGACCTGAGCATCAGGAAATGCCCTGGCTGACTCTCTTGCAAAGGCAGGAGCAACTGGATCGATAGAGCTCGTGGCACATGTGTATAAAACCCATTCTGCTCCTGGCCCCTCACTGCCAGACTTCTGCCATCTTGATGTCTTTATAACATGACGACAGTCTGCTCCTGAATCAGAGACCAGAAGAGGCAAACAATGGTTGTAGATTAAATGCACAGTTGGGGCTATGGGGCACCCAAGACAGCCTCTTGGTTCGTCCTTGCTCCCTGGCAAATCCCATTTTTGTTTTTGCACTCCTTCACCCGCCAAGGAGCAATGAAAGATATTCACATTACAAATAAACATTTGTGGGGAGACTTCTACAAAATTGCACCAATGCCTGCCCGGTCAGGTCCATAATCCTGGAAAAACTATTTTCATTCCCTGAAGCCTCAAAGCTCCCTGGGGATCCTCTGAGTGCCCACAGCTGGACTTCATTCAACTGCCACCTAGTATAGGTTATCAATATGTCATTGTTATTGTCTGTACGTTTTCTGGATGGGTTGAAGCCTTCCCCTGCCGCAAGGCAGATGTCCTCACAGTGGCAAAGAAATTGAAAAACACGTTTCCCACTTGGGGTATACCTTCCACAATCTCTAGCGGGCAAAACTACAAGCTTTAACAAAGACCTTACAAACCTCTTGGTTTGTAAACCACTGTTCCTACCACCCTCAATCATCAGGCAAGGTCGAGAGAACGAATGGGAAGCTCAAACTTAAACTCTACACTTGCTGAAACTACTGGACTCTCCTGGCCTAAGTATTGCCTCTGATCTTTCTATTTGTAGACCTCTTTGGGAAACGTAAACTTGCTCCATATAAAACAGTCACCAACCGGGCACCTGGGTGGCTCAGACAGCTGAGCGTCCGACTTTGGCTGAGGTCATGATCTCATAGTTTGTGAGTTTGAGCCCCACATTGGGCTCTCTGTTGTCAGCACAGAGCTTGCTGTGTCTCTCTCTGCCCCTCCCCTGCTCACTATCTCTTTCTAAAAAATAAATGAAAACATAAAAAAATAAAATAAAGATAGTCACCAGTCAACCAGTGTTTACTGGTATATAACTTTCTGTTGACCCCTTGTTATCTCAGGCTAGTATGAACAGTCACTGTAAATCTTTAAAATCTTATGCAAAAGCCTGTCGTCAACAGGTTAAAGAAGATTTCCCAGATCCCAGTTCAAAGGGTCCTGCTCATCACAGCCTGGGTCTGTTAAGCATCCAACACTTGGTTTCGGTTCAGGTCATGATCTTGTGATTGGTGAGTTTGAGCCCATTGAACCCCAAATCAAGCCCCGCATCAAGGCCCGCATTGGGCTCCACACTGGCAGTGCAGAAACTCCTTGGGATTCTCTCTCTCTCTCTCTCCCTCTCTTTCTGCTCTGTTTGCATGCTCTCTCTCTCAAAAATAAATAAATAAGGGGCGCCTGGGTGGCTCCGTCTGTTAAGCGTCCGACTTCAGCTCAGGTCATGATCTCACAGTTCGTGGGTTCCAGTCCCGCATCAGGCTCTGTGCGGACAGCTCAGAGCCTGGAGCCTGCTTCAGATTCTGTGTCTCCCTCTCTCTCTCTGACCCTCCCCTGCTCATGCTGTCAGTCTCTCTCTCTCTCAGAAATAAATAAAACATTAAAAAAATAAAATAAATAAAAAGAAAAAATAAAAATAAACAAATAAGCTTTAAAAAAAAAAAAAGTCCTTACCAAGCGCTCCTGACACTGACGTGAAACCAGAAGGCATTGAGGCTTGGGTGTACATCTCACAGGTAAAGAAGGCCCTGTGGGACATCTGATCCTACGCAGATACTGGAAACCTCCAAATCAAACTGGCGAGAAAGATAAGTAGCCTGCTTTCGCCCAAGATGCCAGACCAAGACTTCGTATTTCAAATAAACATGAAGTCCTCTCTTCTCTTTATTTCCTTTACTCTGGCATTGCCTGTGCCATCATGTATGTCTCCCAGACCATTGCTAAGGAGGGTAATCTTTCAAACTGTTGAACTTCTCATCAAACACTCCAGTCTGTCCATGATGCTAGAAACCCTCGTGGTCATTCCTGTGACCAATTTCTCTTCTATTCCCAATGTCACCACAACGATAGACAACCCCCCGATTAGAAATCTCTTATCAAGTTCAACTCAAATGGCGAGAAATCTAGTGCCTTGTTTTTATCGTTCACCAATGATAACTGTTCTTACCCAAGTAGACACAAATATCTGTGTAAATCTCAGTACATTTGCACACCTACATTCCCATGATTACCTATCTCAGATCTGCCCCCAATCTCAAAAAGATTTCAGTGGTGGCACCCATCTTTGCAAGGTATTTAGAACTATTGTGTGCTAGGAGATTTACTTCCCAAATACACTGAAGATCTGACTGAGTCCTGGCTTGAACAGGCAAATGCAATAATCCCTGTGAGTGGACACACTGGTGGTATCACCTTAACTGGAATGGTTTGTGCCCCAACATGGTTTATCTTTGTCTGTGGTGGTTATGATTCTCCTTGGAGCTATGGCTGGCAGAGAGTTGGGTAATACCTCTTAGGGTACCGAACTGTGCCCCTAACCGTTCACATTCAAACTAAGTTACCTCACTCCCCTGAGTGTACACTGTCATCTTAGAAAGGACCTTCTGAGAAACTGTCAATATTCAGGATTTGCTTCCTTTCATAGGTCCCTACTTCTTTGGCTAGGAATAAATGTGAATAAGAATATGATCAGGGACCTCTCCTTAACTCGAATAATATTGCAGCACGTGCTGCTAAAACAACAGCTGCCCAAGAAAATTCCTTGGACTCTGTGGCCAAGCTTGTTTTTGATAATAAGATAGCCCTCAGTTATCTTTCAGCTGAGCCAGAAGTATCTGTGCTGTGGCCACCACCACCTGCTGTGCTGGATGAACACTTCTGGAGAAGTTGAAACAGTTACAGAAGTTGGGGTGCTTGGGTGGTTCAGTTAGTTAAGCGTCTGACTTCTGCTTAGGTCCTGATCTCATGGTTCATGAGTTCAAGCTGGTGTTGGGCTCTGTGCTGACAGCTCAGAGCCTGGAGCCTGATTCCAATTCTGTGTCTCCCTCTGTCTTTTTGCCTCTCCCCCCACTCGTTGTTTTCTATCTCTCTCTCTCTCAAAAATAAGTAAAACATTTAAAAAATTTTAAAGATCACTGTACATGCTATTTGCTGTAAAAGGTGACTGCTTCAATGAGGTCTTTCTTCGACTTACTTGATTTTGACTGGGTTGGGTCTTGGACACCGTGGCTCCAAAGTCCACTCCAAACACTAGGAATTACTCTGCTTATAATAATCACAGCGGTCTCACTAGTACACCATGTTCCCTCAAAAGCTTTAAATGCAGGTGTGCAGTGACTAACCACCCAGCAAATGATCTCCGTAAGACTGGGACGTCAGAAGAGGAGCGAAGGAAATGACCATCTAGAAAATTGTGAACCTGCATTAATACCAGAGATTGAGCAAAAAAATGACCTGACCTGTGAAAATCACACAGAGGATCAGCAAAAGCTGTGAGATGTACAGAGCGGTAGGCCAATGGCTTCAATTTTGATCACAGGTGTCAGTTGAGAGGGGAAGGGAGAGAGGGGAGGAGAGAGAGGGGAGGGAGAGGAAGGGCAGGGGCTGGAGAGGAAAAAAGAAAAGAACAATAGGCTTCAAACTGCTCCCCCCCACCCCCAGCCAATCAAGACTTAATTGGTTTCAGCCTCTCCCAGGAATGTGCCTTTAGCCAGTCTAACCAGAATGATCTGATCCACTCTAGTGAGGCCTTCCGCATGATAGACCCCCCAACTCTTCCTCCAAAGAAAGGTAACCTTGCCTGAAACAATCCACCCTTTGTTCAAAACTTCCCTTTCCACTTCCCTTCTGCCTAAAAGCCCTTCCATCTCGTACAGCTCCTCAGAGCTCTTTTCTGTTTGCTAGATGGGATGCCGTGTGATTCATAAATCCTTAAATACAGCCAATTTGATCTTTAAATTTACTTGAAATTTTTTTTAACAATAGGAAGCATAATGTTCCCAGCCAGCTGGTTGAGCCGCCTTAACTAGAGCTCAAGAAAGAGACTATAAAGTCCTTAGATACAAGAGCTATATTTTATTCATCTGTGAATCACACAGTAATTAGTTAAGAGCCTGCTTTGGATCCAGCCAGCTCTTGGCTTGAATATTGATTCTACCCCTTAATAACTGGGTAACCTTGGCCACTTAACCTTCCTACTCCTGTCTCGTCTGTAAAATGGGAATCCTAATGCCTGACTCCATTGACTTGTGGGAATTACATTTGACACTTGCATGTAATGCTTTTGGTACAGTTCAGAAGTCTTTCCTGAGCGCTTGGAAGAACAGTGGCTTCTACCCAACGAAGAGTGTGTGATCTGAGAAGAAACGGAGTCTCCCAAGTTCAAAGGATAATTCCTTTGCCAGAGGCTGTAAATGCCATAAAGCTGGGATTGACTAGATAAGCATTTACCTTAAGGAAATGGATTGGTTTTCATTTTATCTGCATTATTTGAATTTTGATATGGATTAAAAATACATGAAATTAGGGGCGCCTGGGTGGCTTAGTCGGTTAAGCGTCCGACTTTCGCTTAGGTCATGATCTCGCGGTTCGTGGGTTCGAGCCCCGCGTCGGGCTCTGTGCTGACTGCCAGCTCAGCCTGGAGCCTATTTCAGAGTCTGTGACTCCCTCTCTCTCTGACCCTCCCCTGCTCACGCTGTCTCTCTCTCTCCTGGAAATAAATAAATAAAACATTTAAAAAATAAAATAAAAATACATGAAATTAAAAATAAATACGAATTTTAAAGGGGAAAAATGCTGCGCTGTCAGGGTTGCTGGCTTATTCGCTCAATCTTTTAGCTCTTTCGGAAAGCAAGAGCAACCAAGAGAAAACACTAATAATTACCTCCTCGGCAGCCCCCGTTCCTGTATGGACCTGGGGATAGACACAAAGTCTAATAATCCTTCAGGGTTGCACCAAATCTTTCTTCACCAAGCTTTAAACCAGCTTCCACAAATTCCACAGATCTTTAGCTCTCTACGTGTTTGGGGCGGTTTCCACCTTTCCTAGGCCCCCAGGCAACGGTAGCCGGAGGAGAAACTGAGGTGGGGCTGGAGGAGCCTGGCTGGGCTGGAGCACCCTGCCGCGGGGCCTCCTCCTGCTCTCGGCCCGGGACGCGGCCGTTAGGGCGGTTCCGACGCCCCTCGGGGCGCCCCGGAGCCCGCGTAGACCAGGCCGCCCGGCCGAGGGGGCGGGCCCCGCGCCGCGGCCTCGCTTCCGCCCGCGCCGCGCCGCGCCCGCCGCCTCCCGGCCGCTCGCTCGGGGCGGCCTCGCAGGGCCGGGAGCGGCGCCCAGGCCGAGCGCCGCCAGGATGCTGCAGAAGCGGGAGAAGGTGCTGCTCCTGAGGACCTTCCAGGGCCGGACGCTGCGCATCGTGCGGGAGCACTACCTGCGGCCCAGCGTGCCCTGCAACAGCCCGCTCTGCCCGCAGCCCGCCACCTGCCGCAACGGTCAGGGCCGGGGCCGGGGCCGGGCGGCGGGGCCGGGAGGCGCCGGGCCGCTGCAGGAGGCGGAGCGCGAGGCCGCCGGGGCCGCCGGGCCTCCGCCCGCCCGGAAAGCCGCACTCGGGCCCGGCGAGCGGCGGGGCTGCGGGTGCGGAGCCAGAGGCCCCGGCCCCGGAGCCGCCCCGACGGCCGCGGCGCGCTGCTCCTGGGGCTCTCCGCTTCCGGGCCCAGAGGCCGGCGGCCCGGCGATCGGGCTTTACCGGGGGCCCGTGGGCGCGGGAACCGGCCTCTTCTGCCGCCTTCCCCACCCCACCCCCCCAGGATCGCGAGAGCTTAAAATGGGGGCGAGGGTGCTGAGCAGCTCCTGCTGCTGGTCATTTGACACTTTTTACTCCCCACAAATTTCCTGACCTGGCAGCCCAGATGCCTCCGACTTTTAGCCAGTGGAGAGTCCTCTGCACTAAGGGTTTGCCACTTGTCTGGGGCCCTCGTACAGGAAGGTCTCAGGGAAGCTGGATTTGGGGCTCCTGTGCGCTAGACCTTCCCCCACTTTTTTCTCAGTTGCAAGAGTGGCCGATTTAACGAGGAAGATTACTGGTTCTCTTCCCTCTGGTGGGAGCGGGACGTGAGGGTCCTTCCCAGCGAGTATTTGGAATCCTCAGTTTATGGTTAAGGTGAACATTCCGGTGCAGCTTGGCGAACCAGCACCCTGAGATGCGGGCTGGGTGGAAAGCCTAACCACTGCCCTTGCTTGCACTGAGCATCTTTTCCAGTCGATTCCGGCCTCCTGGCCCCCTGGAGACTTCTGAGCATGTACACAAGCTTGATTCAGAACCCGCTTGAAATTGCCAGCCATAAACAAGTGGTAAACTTGTAGATTTGGGAGGACCCCATTTGAATGGGAGTGTATGTCAGTGAGTTAACAGAAATAAATATTTAGGTTGTGCTGAGGATTTGCTTGTTTTAAAAAAAAGTAATCATCTGCACCACTGACAACACCGTACACCACCCTGAGCCTTATCACAGCTTCAGAAAAATGAAGATGCTGAATTTACCTAACTTGAGGCGTCTACCAAAGTAGATTTGTCATGTCCTTCAAAAACTTTTGGGTGTAGTTAAGACTGGAAGTTATTTTGTCTACTGGAGCACCTTGACCTTGAAATAGTAGTAAGCCAGGTTTGCAAATATCTCTAATCGCTTACATTTTGAATTTTGTTTTTAGATGGGAAACTCTTGTCTAGTGATGTGACCCATTACATGATCCCAGATTGGAAAGTTGTTCAAGATTACCTCGAGATCCTGGAGTTTCCTGAGTTGAAGGGGATTATTTTCATGCAAACGGCTTGTCAAACCGTGCAGCACCAAAGGGGCCGGAGGTATCCGTTTTTGCATTATTTATTTTTATATGGCGGACTTTTCTTTTCCCCTTTAGAAAGGTCCCTTTTCAGAGGAGATGAGGAGGAATTCATTATTTTGTCAGAAGGGACTTTTTGAACTAATTTGGTATTCTCTTTGCTGGTGAGGAATGCAGTAACATTATTTTATATTTCTGCTTCAACACCTGGCCAAGAGATTGGACTGTAGATCAATAAATTGCAGTGTCCCCAGCATCTGGGTATTTAAGATTCTTGGCTTTTGGTTTGCATTTATTTTTTCGATACATTGTTTCAGAGGCCTACACTTTCAAGGAAGGGGAAAGAGTACTTTATTTTTAAATTTTAAACTGTTGATTGTGATACAAATTGTACCTGTAGTGATTTACTTAAAGAAACCAGAAGTAACTTGGTTTATCTTTACATTACTACTGATTCGTACATTACAAAACTACGAATCATATTAATTGTATTTGCTAAACAAAGCGTCTCTGAGTGAAATCAGTACAAAATGCTTGCCTTGTACCGAAATAAAAGAACAGTTCACCTTTTAAACAAATACCTGAAAAATGGTTCTGTTTCGTTTAACATTGGAAAGGATTTATGATTTCAACGTGAAGACTGCATAGAAACACCATATTAGAATTATACATCCAACCTTTTAACACCCCTCATTATATAGAAAGCAGAAACTGTATGTTTATTCTTTTTTAAGTGTTGTGGCTTCTTCAGACATTGGTGGTAAAAGATGAAGTGTGTTTATTTGTATATGAAAATAATGAGTTGTCATTATATGCGGTGTTCAAAAAAATGTGCATTAACTGAATTGCAGATTTTTCAGATAGAATATTTTTAAATGAGTTTGAAGTTGATTTTGTTCAGACATCCAGATATAGATGTTTATACACATCCAGGTTTGAACACTGCTCCAGGTGTCGTATTTCAATTTCTGCTACTAAAATCAATTTGTTGCTATCATTCGGATTGCAGGCACTCTGCTGAGCCTTTTCAACTTCTGTTTTCTAAAATATTTTTAATATTAAGGGTTGTTTTAAAAACCAATTCCTGAGACACTCAAAAGCAAAGAATTGGAATTTAAATGCCTTTTCTCCTGAACATTTCAAAAGTCGTTAACTTGATGAAAAACTATTGGTTTTCCACCGCTTTACCATGTCTCTGAATATACTAAATGTGAAAACAAAGGATGAAGAGTTGTGAAATTGACCGATAGGATAACATCCTGGTTTTCCCACTTGGTAAGCACATTTGGAGCTCATAGTTCCGGGCCTTATAGAGCACAAAAAGAAGTACAGTTGACTCTTGAACAACATGGGGATTAGGGGCATGGACCCCTACAAAATCCATGTATGTATAACTTTTGATTCCCTGAAAACTTAACTAATAGCCTACTGTGGATCAGAATCCTTACCGATAACATAAATAGCCGATTGACATATGTTTAATATATTGTATATTATATACTGTATTCTTGCAATCAAGTAAGCTAGAGAAAAGATAAACCATAAGGACAGGGTGACTGGGTGGCTCAGGCAGTTAAGCCTCCAACTCTTGGTTTTGGCTCAGGTTATGCTCCCATGTTTCATGAGTTCAAGCCTCACGTTGGGCTCTGAGCTGACAGCATGGAGCCTGCTTGGGATTCTCTCTCCCTCCACCCACCCATGCCTTTCCCCTGCTCCTGCTTTCTCCCTTTCTCAAAATAAATAAATAAACTAAAAAAAAAAACCATAAGGAAGAGAAAATATATTTACAATGCTGTACCGTATTTACTGAAAAAAATGAGAAAATACATTTACAATACTCTACCATATTTACCGAAAAAAATCCACATAGAAGTGGACCCTCACAATTCAAACCCAGGTTGTTCAAAGGTCAACTGTATTAGTCCCTCTCTCAACAAAGTTGTTGTCTTGTTGGGTTAGGTGCAAGAAGGTAATGGTGACACACCTTAGACCCAGGCAGTATAATTTAATGTGGACTGTGCAAAGTGCACAGGTGAATACAGGGAGTGAGGGTTCAGCCAGAAAGCCCTCTGAAGGAAATAGGTTTGAAATTGGTCTTAAAGCAGGGGTTCTAAACATAATTGATGAAGAGAAGAAATGATAAAGACAAAGCAGGTTTGGATCTTGGTGCTTTGTTTCTCTGGTAAGCAACCAGCAGTTTGTATCCAGGTTGAAACCGCCAAATGACCAAAATTACCTAAGCTCTGAAGAGTGTCATATATTGGGGCGCCCGAGTGGCTCAGTTAGTTAAGCGTATGACTTCAGCTCAGGTTATGATCTCATGGTTTGTGGGTTTGAGCCCCACGTCGGGCTCTGTGCTGACAGCTAGCTCAGAGCCTGGGGCCTGCTTCAGATTCTGTGTCTCCCTCTCTCTCTCTGACCCTCCACTGCTCATACTTTCTGTCTCTCTCAGAAATAAATAAAACATTAAAAAAAAAAAGAGTGTCATATATTGAAAGCTAACTTTATAATTGATCACAACCATTGACTATAGAAGATCTAGGGAATTTGCTTTATTTATACTTCAAAAGCATTAAGTGTAAGCCATTGGACTTTTATTTTTTTTAACGTTTATTCATTTTTGAGAGGGAGAGAGAGAGAGTGAGAGAGAGAGACAGAGTACTCGAGTGGGGGAGGAGCAGAGAGAGAGGGAGACACAGAATCCAAAGCAGGCTCCAGGCTCTGAGCTATCAGTGCAAAGCCTGACGTGGGGCTTGAACTCATGGACCGTGAGATCATGACCTGAGCTGAAGTCAGACACCCAACTGGCTGAACCACCCAGGCGCCCCCCATATTTTTATATTTAGTCACAAGTGGCCTAGCAGAAGCTCTCTGGTGTTTTGCTTTACTTAATGTTGGAAAATGTTTTGTTCTGTGTTTCATTTCTTCCTTGGAGATTTTTGAGATGCTAGTAAATACATTCTATTTGATATGCTTTTAGGTACATTATTGCTTAGAAAAGCTTTATCAATTAAAAATACCTGGTTGGTCTAGTGTCTGGTGTAAGGATGCCTTGCTTTCTCTCCTTTGGGTGCCTTCCTTAATTCCTTCATTATAGCTTCAGAGTCTCAACAGTTGCTCAGTATATGACATAAGATTGGAATTATAGGGGTGCCTGGATGGCTCCGTTGGTTGAGCATCTATCTCTTGGTTTTGGCTCAGTTTGTGATCTTACATTTCCGTGAGTTCGAGCCCCACATCGGGCTCTGCACTGGCAGCCTGGAACTTGCTTGGGATTCTCTCTCCCTCTCGCTCTGC